ATTTAATTTTTTCTGTCTGTCTGGAGCATCAAGCTAAGACAGAAAAAAAAAAATCTTTAACTCAGTTTTTAACATACTATAATTTGCCATTATTGAGTTATTTGCGTACGTCAAACGTATATATAGTACCTACGACATCATGGTAGGCCCTAGGGACGTGTATATAGTACCTACGACATCCTTGCAGGCCATAGGGACGTGTATATATATGATGAAATAGTACACTCGCTTGATGTTGTCAATCTCATAGATACTGAATACTCTACTTACCCAGCTAACATTTCGTAGATTAGTATACCTAGAGCCCACCAGTCAACAGCCTTATTGTGACCCTTGCTTTGGATGATTTCTGGAGCTAAATATTCTGGTGTTCCACATAAAGTCCAAGTCCTAAAAACAATAATAAACTACTTAATGTCAAACACGTATTATAATTGGGTGATTTTTGCATCTATTCAGTTATTTATAAATGGGGTTTGGATTATGTTGAAATAACATCTTTCCTAAAAATTTGTAACTTACCATTGGATAACTGACTATTCCATATTGTTAGGGTGTGAACGCCTTTCACAAGCTGGCGAAGCATGATTATGATCAATTATACTTATCATAAGACATTAGTATTAGGACTGTATCTTTAAACACTACATTCTTTGACTAGCTATTTAGGGATTTAAGAATTAAAAGGGTAAAGTAAATAATGTATCTCAGCCGGCCTGAAGATTTCCAAATTTAGCGAAACGCGTCGTTGGTGATGGATACAGTGAACATGGTGTTGTTGGAATACTATAATTATTCATTAATTTTTGAAAATTCTCAAGGGACTGAATAAAAAGGAATTTTGTGTTTAAAAATATGATAGACATGATTTTTTTTTTTTTATGAACAATAAATAAAAATACAAATGCTTCGTTATTAGTATACCGTGCGTGTTAAAATAATGGAGAAACAGTGTCACCTAACAACTGAAATATAAAACAATAACTAAAATAATGGAGAAACAGTGTCACCTCACAACTGAAATATAAAACAATAACTAAAATAATGAAGGAATAGTGTCACCTCACAACTGAAATATAAAACCATAACTAAAATAATGAAGGAAGAGTGTCACCTCACAACTGAAATATAAAACAATAACTAAAATAATGGAGGAAGAGTGTCACCTCACAACTGAAATATAAAACAATAACTAAAATAATGGAGGAAGAGTGTCACCTCACAACTAAAATATAAAACAATAACTAAAATAATGGAGAAACAGTGTCACCTAACAACTGAAATATAAAACAATAACTAAAATAATGGAGAAACAGTGTCACCTAACAACTAAAATATAAAACAATAACTAAAATAATGAAGGAATAGTGTCACCTAACAACTGAAATATAAAACAATAACTACAATAATGGAGGAATAGTGTCACCTAACAACTGAAATATAAAACAATAACTAAAATAATGAAGGGAATAGTGTCACCTAACAACTGAAATATAAAACAATAACTAAAATAATGAAGGAATAGTGTCACCTAACAACTGAAATATAAAACAATAACTAAAATAATGAAGGAATGAAGGCATAGTGTCACCTAACAACTGAAATATAAAACAATAACTAAAATAATGAAGGCATAGTGTCACCTAACAACTGAAATACAAAACAATAACTAAAATAATGGAGGAATAGTGTCACCTAACAACTGAAATATAAAACAATAACTAAAATAATGGAGGCTTAATGTCACCTAACAACTGAAATATAAAACAATAACTAAAATAATGGAGGCTTAATGTCACCTAACAACTGAAATATAAAACAATAACTAAAATAATGGAGGAATAGTGTCACCTAACAACTGAAATATAAAACATTAACTAAAATAATGGAGGAATAGTGTCACCTAACAACTGAAATATAAAACAATAACTAAAATAATGGAGGAATAGTGTCACCTTACAACTGAAATATAAAACAATAACTAAAGAGATGATTTAGTTCCGTAATTTCGTTATAAATGCAAGACATTCCTTAGGAAGTTGGATGACTTAAAATATATTTAGATTCCATCACTCTAGCTGATGCTTGGCATATCGTATTTAAACTGACTTCGTGCTACTGTATTACGATTAAGACTGACAATACTAACACCGTTAACAGTGAAGATATACAGCTGATAAATTAACGTTTGTTTTCTTATCAGTTTAAAATTAGATGTCGCAATATTTTACGTTATATTTATTATAATTTTGTTTCTAATACCACTATTATTAAGTTTGCTTAAAACAAGATTTTTTATTCTAAAAAAAAAGAATGAAAATATAAATTTCGTAACTTATTTCATAACTTAATTTTTGAAAATTCTCAAGGGACTGGATAAAAAGGAATTTTGTGTTTAAAAATATGATAGACATGATTTTGTTTTACGACTAATATAATAAATTATTCCATATTCTACTGACTATCACCTGGATTAAAGTAATACATTACTATGAACAATAAATAAAAATACAAATGCTTCGTTATTAGTATACCGTGCGTGTTAAAATAATGGAGGATTAGTGAAATTTATATTTTCATTCTTTTTGTAGTTAAGGCCAAATCGAATGAGCTTTTATACACAGGCATTAATAGTAACACATTCTGAAACTTTCAAAATACCAAATTTAACCATCACTATGATAGTTAAAACTAACATTTTTATAAAAAGTGTTTAACTACTGAAAATAACTTGACAAAAAACACAAGTACTAGGAACCATTTCAGTACCTAAAATCTTATTTCTTGGATATTTATCTTAGCGCTTTCTAAAACCCAACTATGGATTTGAAGACGTATTCGAATAGTCATACATCAACATATCAAGACGTAGTAATTATTTTCTGAACTTTTACATGTTCTACTTCATAATGTGGATCCAAAAGAATAGCTTCACACACTTTATAAGAACTTTTTACATTTCAAAAAATCCATTTTTGTTACCTGTCAGTTAATTTCTTTGCAAAACCAAAGTCTGTGATCTTAAGATGACCATCTCTGTCCAGCAGCAGATTCTCGGGTTTCAAGTCTCTGTACACGACTTGCTGTTTATGAAGATATTCCAGAGCTAGCACTATTTCTGCAGCATAGAAAGCTCCTGTAGTGCTACTGAACCTACCGGCGTTTCGCAGGTAAGTGAATAACTCCCCACCACAAACGTACTCAAATAACATGTAGAGAGAACTGTCGTCATGCGTTGTCCAAATCCTTCAATAAAGGTCAGAGCTTTTTAGTACAAAGCTGATAAATTCAACGCTTAAGTACATTTTTCTCATGATAATTGTAACACTATAATCTAGAACCTTTCACTACAGAATTAATTATGAAGAGTATAATCCATTAGTTTACCATAAATAGTTACAACAATAGTATATTTTATATATAATACTAATGAAAAAGTGTCGCCGCAGATGCGAGACTTGTCACCACTGTAAGACTTGTATATATTCCTCCAGTCGTAAAAGAACTTTTGATGAAAACTTTACATACAGCAATACTGTTAAAAACTCTAGAGCCAAATAACATAATGTTTCATAAAATAGAACCATCAATGTTCTCCATGAAAACAGAATAACATGCACAAGTAGTTAGGACATCAACGAACACCAAAACCTACGTTAATCTGGAGCAACACCTTCGTCCACTAAGTAAACCATTCAATCAAAAATACCATTATAATAAAAGCTGGGAATATTTCATAGTTCCATTAAGAAGATAAGCAGAGATTTGAAGCTGTCGAAGATCGCAAGCTTCCAGCCACACCTGACATTAACGGCTGGTTTCATGAATAAACTAGAATCACAGCAATCTCATTCAATTCCTAACACATATGCGTCAAGTTCCTCGAAGCAGCTCTAATAAACTGTTATGCCTTTGATCTACTTAAATGTGGCCTTGTAAGCCGTATTTTCTATACAGAGAAATTTTCTGTGTAAAGCCTGACCTTGCCATCTTTACACAAACTTCATACAATGGAAAGGTTGGTGTATACAGTAGCATGTAACCATGGCCATCAGATTGAGTATGATCGGCGATACAGAAAGTAGTTCCAAGGACAACAGGAGGCCTAAATATCATACTTATGAAATGCGAGTAACTTCAATATTTGAACTATTCAGTTATATTAAAACAAGGAAAATACGACTAATTTAAATAACCCATCTTACGTAGAGACAAACAAAAAAACATGCTATTTAACCATAATGCAAACCAACATGCCAAATGTTTCTAAAGATTTTACTTTTGAACACTGAAAGTTTAAAATCTTCCTTGAACGTCATGGACATCGATAACTTAACTAACTTCTAACAGTACAAGTTGTTATAGGAAGTATTCTTCAGTTGATTTAAATTATGGGATCAGTATTTAAAGTGTTACATCATTTTCAAATATATCATCTCCATCTTACATATTAATGATAAAAGGGTGAGTGACTTGTTGAAGAATTGTTTTCTCGTTCTTCACGTGCTCCACCTGCTTCAGTCGAATGACGTCAACCATTTCTAGAATTTTCATAGCATAATAACTGCCAGACAGTTTATCTCGACACAAGCACACTCTTCCAAACGTTCCTGTACCTAATAAGAAATATATAATATCAGCATTATATTTTTTTATATAAATAAAGCATCATAATGAATTAAATCAAGACACACACGAGTGTGTCGTGCGGCCAAAAAACAACCTCCAGGACACACTGCATGTTGTTAACAAGAGTGATAGTTTAGCGATTTTCTACCTACTGTAACTCGGACTGTGGAATTCCAAGTTACATATTTTCAATGGATGTGCTCTGCTAGACTTACTTCACATATCAAATTTCAAGGCAATCCTTTAATAAATACACGATATATAACATCTCCAATTTTGATTGAGTTTTCTCTTTTTCTTCACACCAAAAGGACGGAAACTTTATTTGATAAAAAACATATTTAACTTTCATGGATTTTTTCAAATTTGGTACACTGATAGATCTGTACAACCGACAACTAAGAGTCTCTTTTGGTGTAAATAACTCAAACGTGCAAAGTTCAAGAAAAACCGTTCAAATTTAACGAAATGTTTTGCGCACGCCTACACAAAAGGGCACGTGAGCTATCGGTCTAACATTTTTATTACAGCTTCACCTAAGAGTAAAAGCGGACAGTTTTTACTTTGTTTTTTTTTTCATTCGGATTAAAGACGGCAAAATTATAAGGTGAAAGGACGTGCAGATAAATAAGTATTGGTTAGGTCAAGCAAATTAGATTAGCAGTTTCTAGCTCAAGTTTTCGAAAGAATCATACGGGTTGATGGTTATTATTGATTATTCATTGCCAACTTTTCAGCACAAACCTACTAAATTTTATGAAATTATCGTAATTAAAAAGAGTTAGCGTCACGTGATATTACCTTAACCAGTTAGCATAAATAATTATGCTTGATATGGCTGTACCGATTTCATGGGGGTGATGACAAGAAACTGTTAATCTAAATTCCATGGCGTTAGTATAAAGGAATATATTAACACTGTTTTAGAGAGGAAAAACTACCACCATTTGTTTTAAAGAATTTGATTGATTCTGTAAAGTATAGGTCTGTTATGAATAATAGTGTTGCGACCCTAAAGCTAATGTTGGTTACCATCGAGTGTCACTTTCTTACTTGCTGGAGTTTGTTGGTGTGTACTGACAAAAAGTCATGATATTTACTCAGACATTTGGTGTGAAAAAAGGTGTAACCAAAAAAAAAAAGGATTGAGCGTGCAACTTAAGGTATAAAATCAATCGTTTTTGGCCGCATCTTTTTTTTTCCAAACCTAAGGTGTTTTTGATTAGATTATATTTAGGTATATCCAACTGCTTAAGTAAGCAGTAATGAAAGTCTTTGAGTTTCTGATACTTCTTTCATATTCGTAAGGTAATTATACTCAACTGCCTCACCCACCTACAGAACACAAGTTTCTTGGTAGGTTCACATAACTTCAGTATAGTTTCGAAAATTTCACGTTTTGTTTCACTATAACATACAACATAATATTTTGGACAACATGAGACCTATTGGTCTATCTCGGCTGTTACATCCTCAATACTACATTAAAATGATTAACAAAAATTTTAATCTCGACCCTTTTCGTTCATATACTTATCAAACTTTCTTAAACTCACTTAAATTTGCTGCTTCTACAACATCTGAAGGCACCCCATCCCAAAGGCCAACCACCCTGTTAGAAAAATAAAACTGTCTCAGCTGAAGATGACTCCTACCTTGCCAAAATTTATATTTGTGTCCCCTAGTCCTACTATTCTCACTGTTAAATATAAAAAAGATGATATATCAACACTATCAATTTCCTTTACAATCTTAAACACCTCAATCAGACCCCCCCTTAACTCTTCTTTTTTCAAGAGTAAACAATTTGAGAGATTTCAGCCTCTCATCGTATGACAACCCCCTCCATTCCAGGCACCATTCTAGTAACCCTTCTCTGAACCCTTTCCAACAATTCAATGTCGTTCCTAAGGTAAGGAGCCCAAGACTGAACACAATATTCCAAATGTGACCTAACCAGTAACCTGTACAATGAAAGTATAACCTCTATATTTCTATAGATACAACCTAAAATCCTATTTCCCCATCATTAGCAACAGCACACTGCTTGGATGGCTTTAGAGACTGATCGACTATCACTCCAAAATCCCTTTCCTTCATCACACTATTAAAGTTATTCCCATCCAAATTATACTTGTAATTCAGTATTACAGTACATACTTAAGTTTCGTGTGTTAGGGGAAAAAATAAAAAAAAGTTTTTTTTTTTTTTTTTACTATTATTATTACCAAAAATTTAGCCAACTTAGTTTTGAAGAGAAAAATCGCTATAAGTAATTCCTAAATGAAAGATGTATGAATCACCATCGAGAATATTAGGTGTAATTAAATAAAAACAAAGGAAAATGAAAATATATCAAAATACGCCGAAAAAAACACTGATAACTCACTTCGAGAAAAGGGCTGTCTGTATTTAAACACAACCAAACATACATATCAAATGTGTTGAAGTGTTAATTAGATATATCAATTCAATTCTATGAAAAGTGACACTGCTTGATTAAACTATCAGATATAAAAATGAAGACTATCTATACAAATATGTAGGAAGGTAAGGTAAAAGTAACAACCATTAACTAACTCATGTTATGTAACATTTTTGATGATAGCTAAAGTGATAAAAAAAATTATTAACTGCACTTAATAAAACAGTGGGTGTTAACTGACGTTAGAAACATCATGATTTGATAACTTTTCTTGACAAGTATAATTAGCAAGACAAAAATCTCGGTAGTATTGTCTTTCGCATTTAATATATTAGCTGTGGTTGTTCAAAAACATTCAATGTAACGCCCATACTGTCGTTTCAGAACAAAAGGTTCATTGGTTCATAACTTTTTTTTTTAATACTTCAAAAACAAATCATGTGTACAGTAAAGTTGACAATATTATATACATATATACACGCCCCCGCAAATAGACGTCACCATACTTATGAGCATGATGTATCAAAACTTAGCAGTGGACTGAGAAAGAAATACGACGCTAGGTTACGCCGTTCGAAGTTTCCCTCTCAATAGAATCTCTTATTACTGCTTTTCTGCGCATAATAATTACTTATTCAAGCCGGTAGACTTTCAACCTACACAACGACTTCATTCAACCTGCATAATGTACATACAGCCTTCTTGATCCGCCGGAACGTTACCGCGTTGCCAAAATAAGCGCATTGCAGTCTAGAATATTGATCTATTCCAGCGATGTATGTAAAATATATTAGCAATATAGTGGTTGTTTCTCACTCTAGAAAATCTTAACGCACAGTTTTAAAAGCCTAGGATGTCAGGTTTAAGGTTTTCACAGTATATACTATTACTTGTTCTTATCATGAAATAACATGTTCAAAGAAGAAGAAAAACGTTTTGATACTTTATAATAATGCGAAAAATATTACTAGTTCTTAGCTTGAATCCTGAGTATGTCTTGATTAGAAAAATAACCGGTTCAGGGACTAAAATCTGTGACATTATAGAGGCGTGAAAAATACTACTCATACTTAGCATGAAGCGTAAACATTCAAACATTTTGTTACACTGTAGTCATATGAAAAATATATTACTCGTTTTAACACTGCCTATCTAGTTTAACCTCAACTTCACCACCTTCACGTGCTTAGTAGAAGAAAGAAAGAAGAAAAAAGAGGAACAGATATGGGTGCTCTAGCCCACAACGTCCCACATCTTTACCACCTTTCGCTGTCTGCAGCTACGTATGGGAAGTTGGTTGCTCACAATAAACAAATAAAATAAAGACAACAATAAAAAGAAAGAATTAGAATACAAGACACTGAGGTTGGCATTCCGGGCCACATAATGATGTTTGTACATAAATACCACGATGTTAAGGTATTATTATACTAATATGATCCTAAATTATAAGTATAACTCCCATCCTCCACCCTTCCAAGCTACTACCTGGATCTTCAATGGTTCTAAAAAGATACACAGTAGCAGGTCTTATATAGGGAAGGTGATACAACTACATTAATCCACCTATATAACATATAAAATGTCCAAACAAGTAATTCCAATTCTTTCCCCTACAATAAATTTTAGAAATTATTTCTTTTATTGTGTATATTATAATTTTGTCTAAATCAAAATTTTCAAATTTATATAAATACTTTTTATAATTATTGTAAAACAAGTTAAAATGTCTAATTAAAGTTCTCAAAGCCATTAAAATCAGTTAATGTACTAATCTATTAATATTAGATATTAAGAACTGTATTACATTACTACATATTCTACAATACCTAAGAAGCTGTGAATGTACGATAGTCTGTGTAACATTTGTTGGAACATTACTATTTAGTGAGAGAAGTCCATGTTTTTGAAATGTGAAATCATTGATAATAAATATTAATATAATCATTAATTATCTTAATATCTAAATAATGTGCTTCATTGATATAGAAGTGTTCTTGATCTGTAGAACTGTAGGATAAGACTTACCATTATAATTACTTATTACTGGATTATTCACATGTATGTTAAGAAAGATAATCCCAGATTTTGAAAACTTATTTATACATTTACTTTCGCAATAATAAAAATATAAGTTAACAACACATATTGAATAATTAGAACTCATCGGTATACCCATTATTTGTTTATAAATATGCTTATCAAAATTAATATAATTATTATATTCGCAGAAACTAAATACGTTTTTGTCGTTATTATTATTACTAGCAGAGACCCGCAAAACATTTCCTGCCAAATTAGTATCTTTATCGTAACAGTAGTTCTTTAAATATAACATTTCTAGCACAATACAAACGGATTGTAATCGTAGACAACGAAATATGTAAATCCACTTGTATATAAGCCGTACTTTATAAAACTTTAACTTATGTTAGGCCTAAGTTCGATAAAGAGGTAAATTAACACTGTAACATGTGTACGTTTTTTGTTTTTTTTGTACTTTAGTTTGGTTTGGACTAAACTTTACTGTACTTAATACTATCGATAAATAAAATTATAATG